GTAGGCTAAATATGTTATAAATATTATTTTACTATTGATACTATTATCTTTCAGGCTCGCCTCTTCTTCTTTTTGCCACTCACAAGGACATCAGGGTGGCTAATATGTCTCGCAACAATAAGGTCAACGTTATCATCAAGGACTTGTCAGAAGGCGCGTCATTGGATTTTTTCTATGAACGCGGACTGATTTGCTGGTCTGACAGCGGTCTGGAGATGATACAATGTATACGCTATAACGGTACACACAGCGGCGAAAGGATGACGGTGGTGAACTCCAGTTTGATATCGCCCGATGGTCTTGCTTGCGATTGGTATACGGACAAACTGTATTGGACAGATGGTGAGAAGAATCGGATCGAGGTGACCAGCATCGATGGCCGTAATAGGAAGGTACTCTTCTGGACAGATATCTATCAGCCGCGCGCAATCGCCCTGGCACCGATGGAAGGATATCTTTTTTGGACCGATTGGGGCGATGTACCCAAAATTGAGCGCGCTTCAATGGACGGTGATCAGAGTACGCGTGAAATCATCGTGTCTGACGATATATTCTGGCCGAATGGTTTGACAGTCGACTATGAAAATAAGCTCATATATTGGGCGGACGGTAGACTGTGGTTCATCGCCGTGATGGATTATAACGGCCGTAATAGACGGAAATTAGTTACTCGTGATCTGGACTACCCGTTTGCTATAACGTTTTTCGACAATCGGCTCTACTGGACCGACTGGAAGACCTGGTGCATTCACTCGTACGATATGAACCAGTCGCAATCACACCCACGCGAATTGTTTCACGGCGAATACATACCTGGTATTGTATATAGGCATAGTAGTACAAATATTGAAGTTGTTACATTGTATTTCTTGTTTAAGATCATGTCAATTGTCTTTAACGTGTGTCCTAAATCCAGGAGAATTATAATGTTTTATTTCTGGTAGATCATTAGATTATATGGTTTTTCTAGGGTATTTATTAATTCTCTATATAAAGATTATTTATATATTTTATTCTAATGTTCTACATATATTAATTTTCTCACATTTGTGATATTTTTGCATGTAACGTTTAAGTATAATCTTTTGCTTTCAGGTGACATTGAGGTCTGGGATGCGAGGAGACAACCGGGTGGTGATAATCCCTGCAGGCGAAACAACGGCAATTGTTCCCATCTGTGCCTTCTGAGCTCAGTGGAGCCTGGTTACAGCTGCGCCTGTCCCACAGGCGTCAAGCTAATCAACAAATACACATGCGCCAAGAGACCGGAGGAGCTGCTGCTGATCGTCCAACGAACTGAAATCTGCCGGATATCCTTGGATTCGCCCGATTACACAAACTTTGTATTACCGCTCACGGGTATTAAGCATGCAATCGCGATTGATTTTGATCCGGTGGACGAATTGCTGTACTGGACTGATGAGCAAACGTACGCCATCAGGCGAGCCCCTCTCGACGGATTGAGTCAGCAGAATGTGATTTCCACGGAGGTGTGCAAGACGATTGTTTCTTTTTATCTTTTCTTCCATCGAATTTTTGCATTATTCTCGAAAACACGCTATTTGTAATAGAACCATTACAGTAGATATGCTCTTTTTAATGCTCCACAATCTTTACTTCAAGCTTTTTAGAAATAATATCTTTTAAGATATGAATTTTACAATCTTGTTTATATGTAACGTTTCATCTTTTGATTCCTGTAGGTGGCAAATCCAGATGGTATTGCGATAGATTGGATTGCCCGCAATCTCTATTGGACCGATACCGGGACCGATCGAATTGAAGTGGCGCGACTAGATGGGAAATATCGGCGTGTGCTGGTGAACGAAGACCTGTTCGAGCCGCGAGCGATTGCGGTCGCACCCGAGCACGGGTGGATGTTCTGGACCGATTGGAGCGAGAAACGGCCAAAAATCGAGCGCAGCAATCTCGATGGTAGCGAGCGCATGTTACTGATCACCAAGGACATTGTGTGGCCGAACGGTATAGCCTTGGACCTCGAGCGCAAGAAGATCTACTGGTGCGACGCGAAAACCGACAAGATCGAGGTGTCCAACATGGACGGGACCGATCGGCGCGAGGTCATTACTGACAATCTGCCGCATCTGTTCGGTCTCAGCCTGTTGGGCGATTATCTGTACTGGACCGACTGGCAGCGCCGCAGTATCGATCGGGCGCACAAACTCACTGGTGGCGATCGTGAAGTCATCGTCGACCAGGTACCCAATGTGATGGGAATCAAGGCTATACATCTTGGCCGAATGAACACCAGCAATTCGCCGTGCGCTCGTGATAACGGTGGATGCAGCCATCTCTGTTTCAACAAGCCCAACAACAGGTGTGCTGGAATTATGTGAAACTTTTTTGTCAAGATTTGTCGATATCATTGCTGATAGATTGGAAAGACCTTTTATCAAAGGAAAGAGGCAAAGAATTATACTTTTCGTCGTGCTATATGTTGGAGTGAACTAGTCTTAAGAAAAAGTAACAAATGTATAAATTGAATCACAATTTGTACTTATGAAAAATTGTAATTAAAATTGAAAATATTCAGGTACGTCTGCGCCTGCCAGATGGGCTATGAGTTGACAAAGGACAAGCGCACTTGTGTCATACCGGATGCCTTCCTGCTGTTCTCCAGGAGGGAGAATCTTGGCCGTATCAGTATTGAGAACGTCAACAATGATAATGTTATACCAGTCACTGGTATTAAAGACGCTAGGTTAGTATGGTTGCAATGTTGAATTGAATAAATTTAGAATTAAATTTAGAATTAAGTACAAAATTTATCAAAATTTTCCACGAAATTAGGAGCAATGTATGTACAAGAAAATGGATCTTAGAAATTTTATACCTGATTTGGGATCCACTTTTCTTCTCAAAAAAGATTCATTGAAGCAGCTATATTTTTTAGAATTTTGCTCTTTAATTTATGTCAATACTGTTTATTATGTGATGAGACAAGCTATTTTATTTTACACTTTATTTTTTTTTAATACAGATATTACATATATTTCTTTTGCTGTTTTTAGTGCTATAGATTTTGACTTGTCCGAGAACCGCATTTATTGGACGGATATTAAACTAAAAGCTATCTCACGTGTCTTCATAAATGGGTCAGACATCGAAAAAATAGTCGATCTCGGCCTAGAATCGCCGGAAGGTATTGCATTCGATTGGATTGCACACAATCTCTATTGGAGTGATACCTCTATGCATAGAATAGAGATGATAAGAATAGAAGGGGGTAGCAGAAAAATACTCGTGTGGCAAAATCTTATCGAACCTAAGAATGTGGCTGTGGATCCTCAGAAAGGGTAAGTTTTGTGTCTTTTATCCTGTTATTACCTTTTTTAATTTTTCACAGTTTTCATAATTCCGATAGCTTGATTAATTGATTTATTTTTATTTTTTTTTCTTCATACCTATTCTAAATTAGTAAGTTAACAAGTTTTGCAAAAAGATGAGAGAATCCTTTAAGAGATCTCTGTTCGGGCAATCAAACAATTTTTGTAATAAAATAAATATAATAAAAGATAATTATAATATAAAAATGTTTTTGATCTAGAGATTAGTTCTGGTAATCAGCATGTTAATCTTGTTTAAGGTGGTTCGGCTAGTACCGATGAGTCAATATAGGGCTTATATATATATATATATATATATTTTTTTTTAATTTTTATTTTTAAGAAAAATCACTTTTATGGATATATTCTAGACACTTGTATAATTACTGATTTTATAATATTACTTTTTATTCGATTATGTATCAATTTATCTACTGACAAATGTAAATAGTTCAAGATTTGACTTCAGTTGACATTCGTACAAGAAAAATGTCGCGACATTGCATCTCTTCGCTGTAGGGTAGGTAGCTATATGCCAGTGCCATGTGTTTGAAAGAGGTTATGTATTGTGTTTACGTTGAAAAATAATGGAAGGTAACAAACAATTTCGATAATGGGAGATTTGCTTGCAAAAGAATAGTGTTGTGGAAAGAAAACACTACACGGCGCGGCGTTGTCACATGTTCACGTCGCGTACAGCTGATCGAAAGGCCGACAAGAAACGCGACAATTCATCAACTTTTGATTGAATTTTTGACCTTATTACACGTCAACGTCGTTTTGTCTTATACTTAACAAGTGCTAGAAGAATTAAACAATGTTATTTTCAGTTTTTTGAACTTGTTTTTTTACAGACAGTGAATGAAATTCTCGAAAAATGTATGTTTTCGGTACAATTTCCCATAAAACCTATGTTAAAAATGCCAACTTTGAGATTTAATATCTCAAAAACTAGACGTCAGATCTTCTCAAAATTGCAAATTTAAGTGTATTTAGGTTTTCTTTATAACATATTTTTTATTCAGATTTTTTTCTTTTGACTTCGAAGCCACATTGGGTGGTGGTCACCCAGACAAAAATTTAGGTCTGATATTTTTAAGGTAGGCTTTATAATCAGTGTCCCTCCACCTAGGATCCCTAGTTTGAGTTCCTCTCTCGAAGATCCGTACAGTAGAAAGGCTTTAAACCATGTTTTAGTTATGCTTGGTAAACATTTGAAAATTATTATGGGTGGTGACCACCCAGGTATGGCCTCGGTGTATATTTCTTATTGCGACCAAAAATTACAACATTTCTGTTCATCGAGCACATTTCGGGTTCTGCACCATACATATTTTTGAACAACACCCTTAAGATTTCGAATTTTTACGTGCACATTAATTGGAATTATGAGACTGAATTTGTCTGGGTGTCGACCACCCAGTGTAGCCGGGGCATATTAAAAAAAGAGGTGTGGCCTCGAAGGGTTAATATCAGTTTAACACATTTGTCTGTTGCTAGTCATCTATACTGGGCCGAATGGGGCAATACCGGCAGTATCGAGAGGGCATTATTGGATGGCACGCAGCGGCAGGTGATCGTTTTGCACATCGGCCGGGCGAACGGTCTGACAATTGACTATATCGGGCGCAAATTGTACTGGGCTGACATCTCCGTGCCAGCAATTGATTATTATGATCTACTAACACAACGGAGGGATGTCATCGTTTCGTATCACATAGTCTATCCATTCAGTGTTACGCAGTATCGGGACTACATTTATTGGGCAGATTGGAATACAGGTGACATCGAGAGGGCGGACAAACTCACTGGAACGAATCGTACCAAGATCCATACTAATCTGGCGTCAGTGACGGATCTGAAAGTGTTTCACGCGTCGCGACAGGCCGGCTCGAACCCGTGCGCGATCGCAAATGGCAATTGCAGCCACCTCTGCATTGCTCTGCCAGATCCGATTGGCAGTGCATCCGTTGCCCACAAATGCGCTTGTCCCACGCATTACAATCTGGCGCGGGACAATCGAACCTGTCTAGCGCCACAGCATTTTATGATCTACAGTCTGCGCAGTACGATCGCACGTTATTTACCTGATCAGACGGATGACTGCGCAGACGTGACATTGCGCGTACAAGGTTTGAAGAATGTCCGCGCGATCGAGTTCGATCCGATAACGCAGCACGTTTATTGGATTGATGGCCGCGCAACAATCCGCCGTGCCCTGGAGAACCGGACACAACAGCAGCACAGCGGCACGGTTGTGGTTTCCATCGGAAACGGGCATGCATTTGATCTTGCGCTGGACCCGCTCGGGAGGCTGCTCTTCTGGACATGCTCAACAAACGACGCTCTTAACGTCACACGGCTGGACAATGGCTCGGCTCTCGGCGTTGTGGTGAAAGGTGATGGCGAGAAGCCGCGTCATATAGCGATCCACTCGCAACAGCGATTGCTTTTTTGGACGGATGTGGGCAAGAAGCGGGTGGTACGCAGCAAGATGGACGGCAAGGAGCGTCATGTGATCGCTGGCGATTTGCTGGAACAGCCCACTGGCTTGACGGTAGATACCGTAACGTACGTCGTCTACTGGTCGTACGGCAGGCACATTGAATGCTCCAACTTCGAGGGCGGCAATCGCAAGCTTTTGGCCTCCACCACACAGGGTCCGGCCCTGCACTTGGCCGTCCTTTTTGACTATCTCTACTGGTATGATCGCGATGCGCAGGTGAGTGACAATGTCGGTTTTACTACCAGTTTTGTCTTGGGTTATTAACCTGCAGACTTTCAAGATTTGTATAGTAAAATTTAAGATTGAGATGGTAAGAGAATCTGCTTATCTCACGTGAACCCTGACAGGTGATTGAACGGGTCAACAAGACGTTTGATGGGATTAATAGGCGAGGCACGCGCATGACGACAGTTCGCGTGTTCACGGATCTCATCGCGATCAACATGCCTAAGGATTCGCTCATGGAGACACACGTGTGCAGCCCGTTTAATGACTACGGTGGTTGCTCGCACTTTTGCGTCGGTACGAACACGGTTGCTGATGAGTCCACTACAACGTCACCCCGTTGCTCGTGCCCGAAGTCGTTGGTTCTGTCCGACGACGGTCGAACTTGTCGCGCGGCGCCTGTGTGTGGAAACGATCACTTTACATGTGCTGCGCCGAATGCGGCCGTGAGCAAGGATTGTATACCAGCTACGTGGAAGTGCGACGGCCAAACTGACTGTTCAGATGGCAGCGATGAGCTGGGATGTCCCACGTGCTCCCGCAATCAATTTAAATGTCAGAATCACTGTATTGGTAAGCGCGATTCCTCTTGAATAATTACAAATATCAATACACGAATACATAAAACAATAAATGATTACATTGTGATTATATATTATTATTCTGTTTGTTTTTGTGCAGAATTGTCTTGGGTATGCGATGGAACTCAACAGTGTCCAGATGGCTCGGACGAGGCACAATGTTGCCAGGCTGGGCAATTCCAGTGTGTGGGAAATGGTGTCTGCATTTCTGGGGCATCGTTATGCGATGGCTGGGATGACTGTGCCGATGGCAGTGATGAGCTACCACCGGCTTGCCTTAGTCCGCACAATCCGCATCGTCAGGACGCCGGACCCGGGATTAACGAATCCAGCAAGATGACCTATATCATTATCATCTTGGTAGTGTTATTCGTGATCGTAGCAGGTGTTCTAAGCTACTACTACTGTCGTAAAAGGTTATTATTATATTAAGTGAACGTAAATTTATTAAATAGCCGAAATTCACACAACTTTGAAGCAATTTTTATTCAAAACATTCATTATTTTACAATATCTATTTTTTTTTTAGTTAGAAAAAAGCTTTTCAGTTCCTCTTTTCAAAAATTTAGTAATTTAAAATAGAATTTTCAATATAAAAGATAACGTAAATTCTAGTGTGTGGGAAATGAATCTTTTGCTTTAAGCGCAAGCAAATATTGTTATATTATTATATTAGGTTTACCGGAAACGAAGGTCTGCCTGACATACTACACGATTCAGCGGGAGATCCACTGTCGCCAAAACCCAGTTCAAACAGTCGAATGGTGAAGCCGATGTTTGTTTCGCAAAAGATCAGAAAGGATGGAGCAGGAAGTGGAGTCTTGGAGGTTGGGATGGAAGCCGTAAGGATGTCCATGTTGAACGGAAGTAGTCTTGGTTCTAGTTACGACCGCAGTCACATTACAGGTAGTGTATCTTTAAAAGATAAAAGCTTTCCAATTAGAATAAAATCTCAAAGTCACGTTGTAAATCTTTAAATCTCAAGGCTTATAGACCCGAAGGAAAAGATCACGTAAACTCAAATAAATAAATTAGCTTTTCTAGAGAAATAATATTTTTATACTCCTGAAATAATATTTGTTATTTTCATTTATATGGTATTTTTGTAGACCAACACTTTTATGCTTAGGAAAAATGTTCGAAAAAACTGGATTCACTGTCAATATTATTACCTGAAATGATTCACGTTATTTAATAATTATTATGTTCTGTCTTCACAGGTGCGTCAAGTTCTACCAGAGGAAGTTCCGCGGGTGGATATCCTCAGGAGACTCTGAATCCGCCGCCAAGTCCGGCAACAATCGTCAGTTCGACGCGTTGCTCGAGCAGTAACGCGTCGCGTTACAAGCCGTATCGGCACTACAGGAGTATTAATCAACCACCACCACCGACTCCGTGTAGTACCGACGTCTGTGATGAATCGGACAGTAATTATCCAGCGCGTTATCGTTATGAGAGCGAACCATTCCCACCGCCGCCCACTCCACGTTCCGTCTATCATAGCGACGCGGCGATCAGTTGCCCACCATCCCCAAGTTCCAGATCGTCCACGTATTTTAGTCCCCTACCGCCACCACCGTCGCCAGTGCCTTGAGAACAATCCTGAAGTAAAGACGGATAACGCTCTGGTGCTTCTATTTTTGCATTTATCTTATCTCAGTATTCCTCATATCGCTGATACTTAAATCTTATACTAATTATGGTCGACTAAATCGACCATTACACATAAAAATTTCATTGAAAATTCTCAGACAAATAGTAATTGAGAATTCAACCGTAGTTCTTGCAGAATGATAGCAAAAAATTATGACAAAAATATATTAGCTTTTAAAGTAATATATCTCTGTCATATAGCGAATTCAAATGGGTACGCTAGAGTACACACTGGTGTTACATTAAAGACTGTTGTACACTAGTTTATATAGAAGTGTACAAATGATAAGCGGTTGAATTTAGATGCCCGACATGAGTTATTGTTTAGTATAATGTATTAGAGCATTTTATTCATAAAGCGCTTATTTATGTTTTACGTCTATATATATATTTTTATATCTAAATAGATTAATGCATGTATATACTAACTAGACTATACACACACATACAATTTGCTTTAATCTGCACCAGTGTATTACTCGAATTCGCTATTTACTCGTTAGGATGATAACGAACAGTTTTGTTAGAAATACTGTGAGATCAGTGTGTAATCTCATACAAAGAATTCGGTCTTTAACCGACTTTTACCCAACAGTATATTCTGATAGATCATGGCATACTTTCTTTGTAAACTTTTTGAATTTTTGCAATATCTTCAAAATTGAAGAAAATATAGTACACGAAAATGTGCGTGACGTCATAATGTTGTTGCGAAATCTTTTGAAGTTGCCGTCATCAAAGAAACTTTAGAAAGCTATAACTTTCTCAAATTTAGGTTTTTTTTTTAAATTCAAAAAGTACTAAAAATCGGCTTAGATTCTCTACATTAATTATGGATACCGCTTAATAAAAAAATTTTACTTGAGAACCCAATTAAGGCAAATTGTGCAGGTAGAACGTGCTAGAGCGAAATTTCATCCGAAAAAGCATTTCTCGTGTCACCTTTCGTTTTGGGTTTTGCATTTTTCAATCTTCAACTTGGCAAAATTCGATAATAATTTGTGAGTTACGATACATTAGATTGAATTTATGACTATCATAATTCTCATTAACCCATTAACGGTTATTTTTGGGATAAAACTTCTATTACGGAAAGAAAATGATTTTATTAATATGACTCCTTTAAACTTTTAATTTCGGAACGTAATAGAGTTTTCCAAAGAAATAATTTTATATTTCAATAACATTACAATAATAACATTTTAATCTAGGACGGTTGAAGACAATCATAGTTTATTTCACTTTATATTGTAATAATTATAATTATATCTGTTATTATATATATAATTATATCATTATATATATAATTATATATGATAAAATCATATGTAACTATATTATACAAGTATATAATATAATTACATTATATATCATGTAATTATTGTAATGGCCTTTAATGTGTTAAGCTCAAAAGCAACGAGTGGCAAGACTTTTATAGACTGATAGAGAAATATTATTATTATTATTATTATTATTCGCATAAGATTTACTTTTATGTATATTAATAATCTGTTGAACTTTGCATACTGGAACGTGCTTTCCCATATCACGTAGAATAAGCGAGCTCAAAAAGAGGCAGAAAAAGTGTGTTAGAGGATAACTTTGGCTTTTAACCCTCGGTTGTCACATCTCTTTTTTGAACATTTTTTAAAGGATTTTTTTTTAACATGATGCCACTTAAAAGTTAAATTTTTTATAATAAGAATATATTCTACAATGTTTAAACTTAATTTTAGAATTTTTTGCGGTCCACTTAAACTGTTAGTTTTTGAACAGCATGCAGCTATTTGAAAATTAGTTGGGGTCATTTTGACCCCGTGTGACAACCGAAGGTAAAATAAGTATATTGAGAGCTTTTGATCCCCGTCCAAAGCTTAGTGAGTGTTTATTATAACAATTATGACACTGAGCATATTTTTATTCATAGGACGTAAACTAAATTCTTTCTTAGTGGATTATATTAGAAGAAAGACAACATGATGGAGCTGTATCTCTGGGCGCGTTCCATAACAGAGTTTAACGTAATAACTATACCATTTGTGCCTGCTATACATTTTTATAGTTTGTAATGTACAGAGTAAGAATTATTCTATCGCAACAACTTTTGTAAATATTTAGTTTAAGCGTAGTTTCAATGAAATTACGCTTGCAAAAAAATGTACATGACTTAAGGATAAGCATTAGAGGGATATTCTCGGTTGCGTCACGCCTTCTTTTTATCTGCAAGTACTTTATAGATGTGCATTTATTAATTGTGATATCAAGATATATCATATTAGTATCATCGTTAACAGCATGTGACATGTTATTCATAATTTAATCGATATTGCAGTTAGCCAAAGGCTGCGTCTCATATTTTATTGCTAAATTTATGACCGTTTCTTTACTCTGAAAAGGTGACGGTTTTACATATATCGTATTTATAAATCCTCTGATAAGCGTAGGCGCGATAGAGAAAAAGAAAACGGTATTCGCCTTCCTGCCATAAGATATTTTTACTGCGTTTCCTGTTAATATCTTATTCATTCGTTCGATGGTTATCTTGCTGAATATATTTACGAGAGTTCGACATATCTCTCTTATATCCGTCTTCGTACACTCATACACTCGCACAAACACACAGACTAAATGTAGTGACAAAGATTATGCATTAATCGAAATCTTTTAGCAATAATCAATGCATTTTAACGTATAACGGTTAGATTTGTAATCGCGCGTCATACGATGTATATACCATATTAATGCAAAAACGGCGTATCGTTAACGCACATATTCGTTCCTGTAAAAGCGGGCGAACGAACGAACAACGAACGTGAAATCAGATTTGAAACTTTCTTTTGTATCGCCTCGTAAGCGAACGTTTCGTTCGCATCTCCCGAGCTTGTTTTTCTTTTTATGGCTATTTGTATCGCGTTATCCTTCTTACTGCTCTCCCATCGTAAGTTCTTTCTTAAGGGAAAGCCTATAAGTGAAGAAACAGTGCAAGAAAGTTCTACTGTTGATCCTATAAAATATGCGATCTTGACCTTCCTTAGGGACCTTCCTTCTTTCCTCATTATCCGCAATCTTTATTCTTGCCTATCATTCATGGAATGAAAATACCGATCTTCCGAGCTTCAACTTCCGAATCTCACGTTCGCCGTTCGTTCATCTTGGCGCTATAAGCGTAATCGCCGTATTTCGGGAAATTGTGCCATAAATTGTACGATAGTCCTATACGATATACGTGACCGTATCAATAGCCTGTACAAAATACGCAAGGACTTCTACCTCGCATTGCGATTTCGAAACGGCCTTTTGAAAGAAAAGTTAGAAAAGAAAAAAAGAACGTACTAATAAATTACTATTATTCTCATTTTACACGCGCGAAAGACTGAAAAATATTACTGCCTATATTATTTTTACATCCTCGCAGTTGGACGCGCGCGTGCGTCTTCTTGCGTAAGTCTATTATGCATACTTATAAAGTAAATAAACTTGTTTGTTAACGTAAATTTCTTCGAAGGCTTTTCTTCTTCACGCCTTCGATGCGATTGATTGATATATGTATATGCAGAGCGAATATCCTTAATAGCGATAACTTTAAAACGGACGCGCCAATTATCTACCAAATACCGTTGCTTTGAAATGATCGAGATGGAATTTTAGGAAGTAATTGGAGCGAATAATGATACAAGGGTAAGATCTATTTCCACTTATTGAGAGAACTGCGATATTTGCTCGATAAACCCTCCCGTTCGTCCTGAACCGCCAACTCCTCGTCCAGCAGTAACTCGAAGTTGGTCAAAGCTTCTAGGGAAGGTGATTTGTTCCATTTCACGCTGATCGGACCAACCGCAAGGTAATTTCGTAAATTTGAATTAAATATCTGAGGATTTTTTTTACGTTTAGATGAATATCGTACTTACTCGGGCATACCATCCGGAGGCAGAACCACTGACATAATATTGTCGATTAATTTATACTTTAAGATCCTGTCGTTCACTGTCGTAGATGTGAGAGACGGCGAAGCGTTCACCTGGAAAAAGCTAAAATTTATATATTTTTGAAACTTGAAAATTTATACCGGGTGGCGAATTATGAAGGCCAAGAAACCAACACACCTCGATCAACCATGGTTTTAACTTATTGTCGATGATGATGTCGTACCCATAACACTCGAAACAGTGCCGGTCATTTGCCATCACCGGTGCCACCGCTTTCAGCGAGTGCACGATACACCAAGAGATGTTAGCGAAGAGCTTCTCTGTAATTGCTTTCCCACGCGTGCTTTCCAAGTACAGACGTAGATTCTGCACACTCAACTTACCGCCGTGCTTGCTGTTATACTCATCCTGAAATTTCCGTATTCTTGTGCGGGCATACGCGAAGAATATTTACGCAAACTACGTCTTTAGAATTTAAAAAAATTAGGTAGATTGCGCGACTTAAAAATACAATAAAATCTAAAATAATAAGATTAAACAAATTTTTCTGAATCAAAAGTTATAAATTTCGATCAAAAAGGTTTTAAAAATCTGTCTTTAAAAACGGCTTTTCCAAAACAAATTCGGATAAAGAATTTACCAAGCGCCATAATTTGGTTCAGACCATCAAAAACTCAAATGTGTGTTTGCATTGAGCATTCTAATTTCTAAATTTCTAATACTTTTAATAGTCTAATTTGACAAAGATTATTTTGTGAATTTATTTGTCAAAGTAAAGCAAACAAAGAGATACAAACGCATGTAAGATATATCACTTTTGTATCAACAATTTTCAGGTAATTTTTCCGTAAAGTAAGACAAAAAAACAAAAAGTTACAATGTATCAATTCTTATCAATCGAAGAAAGTACCAATGTGAATAATTTCATAAGTGTACATGATACATACGCCATGCTTTTGTACGGATACATTCGTCAGATGCACGTACATGTTATCGAGCTCTTGAACGCTGGTGTCATATTTGACGGTGCAGAAACGGCAGAATCCTAATTTGAAGAGATACGCTTTGAGCGGTCGAAATGACGTGATGAGAACGTATAGTCGGAGATCGAATTTCTTGCTGCCGATTAACAGCGGATTGTCGATATATCTACCGTGATAAAAATGATCAGAGGAAAAGAAATCAACATAGCTTTGATCGTTAATCACCTTTACCACGAGAATCTCACGAAGGATATCCACAATCGAAATGTCTTCGATTGAAATCATATTACCTGGATATGACATACGATTCTTTTGTCAGGTTCGGATTGAATGGTGTTTTTGCTTCGCGTGACCACTTCTTCAGCTTGCTCAGCTTATTGATGAGAAATATTCCGGCGCCCTGCGATTTACCGCACGGCTTCATGATCCAGGTGCTCTGCGGGGACTTGCGATATTCTTCCACAAACATATTGTAATCTACGGTGTAACGTAAGTTCATGCAATGCGAAAATAAATTACGGATAATTTTCAATCAAGATATTGCAAATATAAAACATTTACTTGAAATTACAATAAAATATTAGAAGTAGATTGCTGATTTGTAAACATATATGATTGACATCACGAGACTCAAATCGCAGATTGCGGAATTTATAATAGTGAACATTTTCCAAAACAATAGATCTTTTTTTAAAACCATTTTTTCAAATTACCCGTAGTATAAAAATAGATTAGCAGCAGATTTACTCAGATATCGCAACAGATCTGATATCATCTATGTCCACTCGTGTTTTGCCAAATATAATCTGACAGCAAATTATCGACAGAAACAGTAGAATTTGTCATTTTATAAATTAACATTTTAATGGAATACATCACTTAAATTGTTACAAAATAGCATTTTGCTCAGTTTCTGCCGTCAATTTGTCATTATATTTTGTTAGCAGATCGACAAAATTTGCAGTAGATACTTTCAAAATCCATCCCTCGACAGATTTGGCTATTTTAAGGTCGAGCTCTTTTTCGAAACAATATTAGGCTTTGTCAAGAAATCATACGTTTCCTAATCAGACAATCTGATTTCTGAGGATCTAGTCTAGAGAGCACGACCTCACCCGCGGGTAAGATGAAAGTGACAGGTATGAAATCGAGATACAGATATTTGCCTGGACCCTCTGCGCGCTCTGCTAAAGGATTTCCCTCTCTCTCCAAATCCTTTCGGTATCGCTTGATGTTCTTTACTAGGAGATCTTTACGCGTGAGCTCATAGTGATTTGGGAAGTGATTGATGATTCTAACATAAATAAATTTTACTTTTTTCAAAATGCCTTAAATTCATATATCTCTAAGAAATGCAAAACTTTCCATAACTATGCTTTGTAACCTGTCATCTCCATTTTTCAAAATATATATTATTTTTTAATTAGATATGCATAATAAATATCTAAAAGAGATTATATGTATTAGAAAACTTCAAATTGTTATAATAGTCTCTATTTTTTTAAATATACACATTTAAGGTACTTCAATATCTCTGATCAATATCTCTGATTGGAAGGTCTTACTGATTGTCATCCATCCTGTATCCAGTTTCGACGCTAAAGATACTCCTGCACGATTGCGTAACAGCCCTACGATATAAACAATAAAACGTCATAATAAATTCCTAAATAATCTACTGATTTTATTGTGTTGCAATTTGTAATTAAGTACCAATAAAAGTTCCAATCATCCTCCGGACTGACCTGCGTCCAGCCGCGTTTCTCAAAGTTATGCACGACCACGGACTTGTCCACGTCTGTGCAAAACGTGATCCTCGTCCGATCCATCCCAACTGATGGCACTCTATAATCATGCGATCAGTTTTCTAATCACGGCCGCAAGAACTAATCAGCACTAATATTTTCATGTTGCTCCGAAGAATTATAACAAACTGCTGCTTTCACGTATTATATAATTATTATGTATATACATAATAGGCGCTTTCCATTTACATCAAAACTCATATAATTCTCACTTGTGACGTCGTTTTATCTTTCTTAGCAATTAATGAATAATAAAGACAGAATGACGTCACAAGTGAGAATTATCTGAGTTTTGATGTAAATGGAAAGCATCTAATGTATATGGTCGTATGTCAAAGCCAGCGATTAAGAAAGCTATTATATTATTTATACAAATTGAGGATTATTGAATATTCTACTTATATGTATATACTTTTATATATTTTTTAATTGTCTTAAAATAAAATATTCGTAAAATAATAATTTTAAGATATAGATAATTATCAATAAGATATCATAATATGTTGAAAATTGTAAGATAAAGAAATAAGATGAAGAAATTATAATTTATTTTTTCGTTTATTATTTCTTCCGCGAAGAAATAAATTTCACATTAAAAAATGATAAGGAAAGATATAGGAAATTTGTGAAAATTTTGAAGAGAGGTACTTAGATTATTTCTTCAATTATCTCTTCTATATTAAAATGTGAGGAAATAAATTTCGCACTAAGAAGCTAGAGAACTCATCAGATTTCTGAAGAAGTAATAAATAAATTTCGCATCAAGAAGTTACAAAGAATACGCGATAAACTCGAATAAACTCAATTTTTCTTGACAGTGCGAGTTTAAGACAGTTTCGGAATGAGCTCTTTTCTCTTCGTCGAAGATCGAGCCTGAAGAGAAATTACAGGACCTCAGCAAGTGCCCTTAAACGTTTCGAGCAGTGGCAGGTATCCTTAACCATCTCGAGCAGCGTAGTACATATACATTTAATTGTTACGAATTTTATTTACCTGCCATAAACGGCGCAGAGGTTTGGATTCGCAGCCCGTTTGCTTTCCGCGGCCACGTTTGACGCCATATTTTTTATACTTACGAACAATACGAACTGCGTTTGATCGATACGGTTATTAATCGATATATGTATGTATGTATGTATACACATACATACACATACGGTGGTACATACCTCCACTTCCAAATGCCATTAAGGATGCGATCCACTTGGCGCTTCAAACGTTCTTGGAAACATTTATGAAATGTTTTATCAAATGTTAAACAAAGACAAAATGATGCTTTGAAGCGTGAATCGCACCCTAATCGTAGGGCCAGATGCAAAACTTACAATTAAAAGATAAAAGTTTAATGGAATTTATGTAAAAATATAAAAATAGTGTGTACATTTTTTCATATTTATACATAAAAGTTATTGAATTCCCATAAAGGAACAATAAAATTTATATAATCTAATAAAAAAAAAATAATTATACAAATAATTTATATATGTATAAATAAATAATTTCTTATATTTTATTATATACACATATATAATACATATAAATATCTAAATACAAAATATATTGTACATAAGAACAGACTTGCATGTCTATAACTTATTAAAACGTAAATTTATTCAAAATGTTTTTTTATTATATTACTGATACATATTACTAGGATAAAATCAAGTTCAATATGTAATATTTAAAAATCCGAATCAAATCCAATAATCAAGTTTCATTTTCTAAGATTCGAGTAATATTCATAAAAAGTAATATTTCATACATTGTACTTGCAAGTTAATCGAACCCAACTAGTTTCTAATTTTAGAATGAGTATCTGCGGGATTCGAAATGTATGTGTACTTGTAAGTAGTTTCTATAGAATCAAATTTTTTTACGTATAATACAAGTACTATTCGAACTCTAAGAATGTTGTTAGTTTAAAGAATGTAATACATAAAATTTTTAAAAAATTTTTAAGTAACTTTAATTCTATATTTTTAATTATATCTTTATTATTATATATTTAATTTTAACGCTCGATAAACTAATATTTGTAATTATCAAAAAATAATATATTAAAATACTTGTCGCTTTATAAAATTGTTTTTATTCGAAGGAACAGAAAATTTCTAGTAAAGTATTCATAAAAGATTTGAACATATTTGATTCAGGTTCGAGTCTTATTTGAAAGTAATACTCTTGTTTTTCAAAACATTCATAAAGGGTCCAAACCCATTTCGTCTAGATTCGAGTCTACTTGAAAGTACTGCTTTTATTTTTCGAAGTAATCATAAAGAATTTGAAACTAGAAACGCCAACAGATTCGAACCTATTTGTAAAATACTTAATCCCATGCTAATCATTAAGAATACGTTAAAAAATCGACTTTTCATCAGTCTTAACAAAATTAACAAGGTCCTGTAGACAAAAGATTATATAAAAGCCCTTTTGATTGATCTTAAAATTATGATTGTTTAGGGAGTTAAACAATCTCAAGAATATTAACAAATACGTTTTATTGATTATAAATCCTTAAATACTTGAATATGTACACACTAGATCCTAAACCAACCAGGCAATCCAGGTGCTTTGTTAGGTTTTATAAAGTCTTGCATATCCTTCTTAGCCATATCTATACTATCTTTGTCAATTTCTTCTTTTACATCCTTGAACAAGTCAGGAAACACAAATGACTGGTCCTTTGGCTACAAAGAATGGATAAAGTTAATTCTAATAAATTTCTAAAATTGTTTTCTAAAGAGATAAATCAAAAAACAGTTGCGATCCAACCAGTACGACGTAGGCCAATTTCTTATCGTCCTCTTTAATGACAGAACGCTGTAATCGATCCCTTGTGAGCCTACCCATAGCTATTTTCGTCCTTACTTCGACTACGTCGATATTGTAAATCTTCTCCAGGTAGTTCTTTATGTCATGTTTGGTCATTTCCATGGAGCAGTGAAACTGTACAATATTTGGAGGCTGTTTATCCATAGGCATGATTAGCTTCATCCAGAAATTAGGTAGAAAAATTCTCAATTGTGGATTGCCTCTTTGATATATAGGATAGCTAAATAAAGTATTAATATAAAATTGTATAATAAAAATCGAATAATTTATGTACAAGACATGATTGGAGAATTAAATTAAGGTTAAGATTGTCCAATAGATCATTTTTAAAGCTTAATTAGAATAATTATATACAATTATTATTGCACTAAATGTTGTTGAGACTTACAATCGTGTTGACATTGTACTGTAAAATAATAAAACGTTTTTTTCATATATAAATGGATATCTCAGAAACAAACGTCTCAAACTTTGTATTACTTA